TAAGGGGCATTTATATTTACATAATTTCTAATTTTTATGCAGAAATGCATCTAGATGCTCTAGGAACATTTCTGCATAAGAAAGAAAATTTTGGAAAAAAATGGCGCTTACATCTTTTTGGCGGTTAGGGCTCGATATGTTAAAATTACGTCTTTGACGGAAAATATAACTCACGCACGCAGACGCCAGCCAAAGTTTCAGTTACGCACGATCACTGAATTTACGTGATTTTTCTCTGGACACTTGAAAAAGCATGACACGACGAGTCACGTAGAAAATCACGTGTTTTGTCCATCTCTAATATGAACGAAGGAAAAAGAATGTTTGTTGCCGCTATAAATTTGGTTTGCACTACGCACTTTCTTGTAAATTTCGATGTGGGTTCTGCGGAAAAATACTGTGGATGGCGTAGCTGGAGTTATATGCACAAGAAATGTTGTATACCTTTGACATGTGGAAGCCTCTCTTCTCCGGCAACACAGTTCTTCAGGCATAGCAGGAGTTATGGCTTGTGGTTAAAAAATCCAATCAGAAGCTGACAAAGATGCGTCCATGGTTACTATACCCGACAGCTCCGCATATCTTTGTGAAATCATTTCCATTGCGCGCTCTTACTCCGCTGCTTTAATTGCAAATGCAATAGAATCTATCGATTCCTTCAAAATATGTAAAATTAAACAGTTGCACTTGATGGTTGTTTTTTTAGTTCCTTTCCACTTTGTTCTATTTGTGATTTTTTATAGTTTTTGTAAGCTTGTTTTTGTTATGTTAATTGTTAGGACGAATTTCAGATGGCCTACTTAAGTAGAGATTGTTGATTAACTTCCACTATTCATTTTCAGATCATACATTTAATCTGCACTTAAATGGCCAATATTGGCTATTTAAATATGAGATATGCAACCCTGTGTTTGTACCAAACAACCAAGACTGATTGGTAGGTTGTTTAATCAATCCCACCAAAAAACAATAAGCTTTTCAGCACAAAATGTAAACAAACAAGCAAATGCAACAATTTTAAGGAACAAGCAGCAGTGCTGCCAATTGTTTGGCATATTTAACCCATTAGAAGTCACCGTACTCAATTGAGTACAGTCATATCTCTAAGTGTGGGTTATAGTTTTCAAATAATTTTTGGGAGTGTTCTAGTTTTTTTATATTACCATTATACTGCTCAAAGCTATAAATAAGAAGTTCGTGGCTATTGCGATTTTGACCGATGAAGAAGAAGGCGCCGAGAAAGATATGGTGCCATCATCTCTACCGCATGACGTGCCTGGTCCTATTGAGGTATTTACGAATCGCAAGGATGGTGATTATGAAGATAGTAGTAGCGATGATTGTGACGATGAACCGCTGGAATAAAGAAGGCGACTAGATATTATTCGCCGGCCAATCCCAACCTGGCGCAAATGTCCCCCTTCATACACCTCAACTTCTCAGCGTTCTTCCGAAGTCTAAGATAAGGCAAATGCTATTCATGAAGAACTAAAAGGCCTTAGCCCTGTACAAATATTTGAAAAAATTTTTGCTGAAGATATTGTTGATATCATTATATCAAATAGTTTACTTTATTCAAATCAAAACAACAGACATGATTTTCAACTAGACTCATCTGATTTGAAAAAGTTTTTAGGAGTATTGATATTATCTGGATATCATAAGCTATCTCGAGAACCAATGTATTGGAGTTTAGACGAAGATGTTGGGGTGGAATTGATCGCTCAAGCCTTATCGACGCATAGGTTTCGAGACATAAAAAGAAACACAACACGAGGTTTTTTTGACAACTTTTTTACAAGCTACGATCTTTTTGTTGACTTGAAAAACGTAGGCTACCGAGCTATTGGAACTGTCGAGAAAACCGAACTAAAAAATGCCCACTGACTAGCACGAAGGACATGAAAAAGAAAGAGCGTGCATCTTATGACTACAGCTTTGACAAGGAAAGGGAACTGCTACTGGTAAGGTGGAAAGACAATAGTGTATGTACAATGGCGACCAACTACGATACCATTGAACAATTAGGGACTGTCAAGCGATGGTGTCCAGTAAAACGGCAGAAGACCGACGTGCCGATACGATTGTTCCAAAATTGCAACAAAAACATGGGTGGAGTAGATGAACTGGATCAGTCCATCGCGCTATATAGAGTCGCTATTCATGGTAAAAAGTGGTGGTGGGTGTTATTTACATACATGTTGGACATGGTCATTGCTAATTCCTGGCGTTTACATGTGATAAGAAATGATGCACCCATGGATCAGCTTATGTTTCGAAAATTTTCATACTTAGGCGGTCAGTGTACTCATTTGAGTACACCCCCGTAATCTCCCGGAAAACATGTTTTTATTATTTTTTCTTTGATTTTATGTACCCTTGTGCTATTTTCAATTCATAAATAAAGATGGGTCCAAAAATTATGTTTGTACTTTTCATTTGACCTATAATCTGAACTTGATCTGAAACCCAACGAAAGCTAAATGGCATTTAAACAACAATTCACAATTAAACTTAAGTGCCGTTTAAATATTCATTTAAATTGGCCCTCAGACAATTACATATTTTAATTCTTAATCTGAAGTTACAGTTCTACTAAAAAGATCGTTGGGATTAGGGATGTCGGAAAAACATTGATGCATCGAATATCGATGTTTTGCTTCGATGCCATGAAATTTTTCCACTCGAAGTATAAAAATTCGACATCACTAATACATCCACTGAGGGGAAAAAATTTTAGAATAAAAAAAACGTGCTAAATTAAAAAAATACGCATATCGCCAATATTTGTAAACTGTGGTTGCGAGCGCCAATGTTTCATATTCAGCCCTATGCCGAGTTTCGCCCGAAAAAAATCACCCGAAAATTGTTCATCCGCCTATAGTAAATACATGGAAACGAAAAGTGAACCGGTTCGGAGAAAATGAAACTCATGATAAGGCGGATTCTGATCGGCGAATGGCTTACGGACACTGAAAGTACAACGCCGATGAACTCAAACTATCTTCGAAGCAATCGATCCATATTCGCAAAAGAAATGTACGCGCCAAATATTCTCATTCAGCAAAAACGAAAACTGAAAATTTCACCGGTTAGAGGAAAACCAAACTCATGATAAGGCTGATTTATTTTAACCTAACCTAAGCTACATAACTGTTTAGCGTTGATACAGTTTAAAGAAATAAAGAAATTTCGTGTACAAAATCTAAGGAAAATCAATTTTACGGAATTTTCTATTCAGAATTTTTTTGCAGTTTTCCTCGGGTAGAGAGAAGTACAACAAAAAAGGCAGCCCACATAGGAAAATCCATTACGGAGCTATGCTCGGTATTACATAAGTAGCTTTGTTTCATAGTATATATATATATAGAAATTTAAATTTTTGGAAAGTTGGCAACCCTCTTTAAAATTATTACTTCTTGTTAAGAGTGTATTTATATGCCTTTCATTCCCTGAATGCGCTGCAATATTTTACTGGATATATAATTAAGTCACTAAAATTTTAAGCGGGTGGTAACCCTATTAAAAGTTTTTATTTTTTACCTTAACCGGTGAAGTTGTCCTTCTAAATGGTGTTTTAATAATTCAATTAGATGGAGTATTGGAGAAGATATGGCGCTTCATTGTCCGGATACAGCGCTTTTTTTTAATGAATAACGAAATTTGAACAACGTGACTATTTTTAGCAGGTGCCTGAGCTCCTCCTCTCCAAAATGAGATACCATTTGTTAAATTTTATAAAATATTAAAGGGGATATCGTTGGGTAACAGAAAAACACCTTTTAGAAATAAGTATATATGTAGAGATTTCAAACTTTCGAAAATAAATTTGAATGCATTTTTCATTAAATGTTATTAAAAGTAAAAGCGTTCAGGTAAAATTAATACTATATTTTGTATCTTTTTTAATAATATTAAACTAGCGTACCCGGCGAACTTCGTCTCGCCCAAAAACAAATTTTTTTTTGGAGCATTTTGGTACAACACTTTCACCACCTATTCACTTAACGACTACCAGTGGCACATTTATCAGCAGTTATTATGGGTTTTTGGTTGTCAGATGGCATATCTTCCATTGCCATTTTACATAACCTAATCAAAGCGTAGTGACGAAGTTCTTGCAATTTTCCAATGATCTGGCGTTTCATAGCAAAGTTAATCGCCCATTGGTGATCAATATCGATATCAGAGTTTCCAACGAAATAAATTTAATGGTGACAGGTAACAAGATCAACGGAAATAAGGTCAATTGACTTTATTTCCCACCCTGGTGCGAATAAAAGTCAATTGATATTATTACCTTTTCAAAAGCGAAATAAAATCCATTGACATTATTGCTCTTTCAAACATTAAGTTTGCTTAGCTTCGCGGCGGCCCGCGTCCACGCGTACCCCGCGCGACCAGCGCGCCACACCACGTCACGCTACGCCGCGACAGGTAATAAGTCCCAGATGGTTTCTAAAATCCCAAATTAGATAAATTTTTTATAAAAGTATTTCTTATCGCACCACCATTATTATGATATCATCAAAATTAAATCATAAACATATGTAGATTTTTGGAATAACTCGACTCTAGCGGATCCATTTTTCGTAAGAATATTTACCGTCACATCCAAATTATACATACGTTTCTAATTGTATCAAAATGGCATCATAAATACAGATTTTCGGAATATCTCGACTTTTCCGCCACATAGCGGAATAAAATATAGCCTATGTCCTTGCCACGATCCTAAGGAATATACCGTCTAAATTAGGTTGAAATCCGTTAATCTGCGTTTAGATACACGGAGTTTGCTGAATCAAATGTTTTGAATACACAATATTTAAAATTAATTTGATCGGAATTAAATATTTAGTACCACTCCATCTGTAGTAAATTTGTTTTTTTGGCAAATCCTTTTTTAACACGTTAAAGCCCTCAGTTTCTACCCTCGGAAAGGTGCAAAATCATTTAATCAATTAACATAATGAAAACTTCCATCTTTCATATTTCAGATCGAGCAAATTTCGGCTATTAGACGAAGTTGCGAAGATATTCTAAAGTTGCGATTTTAACGGAAGTTGGAAAAAAAATGGAATCAAATACTCAGACAGCGGTAAGTGCCTAAAAAACGATTGCTGCTATATTCTTACCACATCCTATTTCGAGCTTTCGCTTTGCAAGCTATGCATGCAGCCTCAACAACGCCATGCGCTCTTTTAGACATCTGAATAGGTAAAAAAGTGTAGACATACATATGTACATTAGACTGCATCACCAAAAAAAGTTACGGTTTTCCGCCGGGATAAAAAAATTTATTATATTTTAATGGCCTTATTCATAAAAAATAAAGTAGGTTTAAAGAGCTTTATAAAATGACGTTTTCATACATTTTTCAGCTTATAAACCTTTTTTAATAGCTGAAATACAATGCCGGCGAACGGCGAACTCACCACAGCGAAATTCGCGCTGTCAAAATTAGAACACCCGCACGCATATGAAATTGAACACAGCAAAAGCGAAATGCGAAGTTCGCTTGGCGGCGTTTCATGGCGATAGATTTATTTCTATCGCCCTGCTGGGCGATGGCAGCTGTGCGTGCCAAAGGTGGCCGTATTTTTTTTTTGCTTTCAAAGTTTTAAAAGAAAACAGCCTAAACACGATTTTTTTTTGTTGTTTGAAAAATATAGTTGTGGATTCGTTACATCTGGCTTGAAACAAATTATTTATAATAATCTTTCTTTGTTTTACATTTATATTTGTTATCATTTCCTCATTTCTAAATATGGTTTAGTTTTTTCTAAATATGGTCACCCAAATTATAAAGGCGACCAAATGGGATCAGCTGTTTTCGCTACCGCTCTAATTCT